GTACATGTTTTCTTACTCTACTCTTCCCACAGCTCATAGAGGGGAAAGTCGCCTGGCTGGGGTGGCACCAGCTAAGTCATGGCAAATCTATATCTGCCAGGCTGAGATGCCTGGGACATAAGCAGATCAGGTGTAACGCTAACCTTCAAGTTCAGGCCATTACCAGGCCACCTCAGTACTGCAAAAGCCTCTTGACCAGTCAATCCATCCTTATCTCTTCCCTAGAAAAGCAATATTCCAAGATCACCTCGACTGTGCCTCTATCACCAGACCTTGGCATGCTTTTCCAGATTTATCTCCAAGCTCACCTTCTGAACCTCTGCCTGCCCAAACCAGTCCACTTGAGCTTCTGAACCTCCTTGTACTCTCCTTTCTTATTCACTCAGTCCTCTGGCTGCACTTGGAAACTCCTGCCAACAACTCTCTAATCACAAGTCACAGTTTGGACACCAATGCTTTCATCAAAACCTAAAACCAAAAAAAGGCAATCATTTCTTTCCACACTTTCTCAATACTGTCATGACCTGCTGCTTCAACTTTTCGTTGTTGAATTTCACACACTCTACTTTTCCTAGCTCAGGTTGTTAAGTTGTTGTTGTTTTGTGTGTGTTTTTTTAAATATATTTTTATTTCACAGAGTGAGGGAGAAGGAGAGATAGGAACACCAATAAGAGAGAATTATTGATCGGCTGCCTCCTGCACACCCGCTTCTGGGGATCGAGCCCACAACCTGGGCACGTGCCCTTGACTGGAATTGAAGCTGGACCCTTCAGTCCACAGGCTGATGCTCTATCCACTGAGCCAAACTGGGTAGGGCAGGTTCTAAGTTTCTTGAGGAGGCAAATTCTTCCACTTCTCCCCATTCCCTGTGACATTGGACAGTTATGCTTCATGTTTTCAGGCTATAAAAGTGTGATCATGAACTTGGCCAATATACCAGTACATGGAGGCTCTCTAGGTTGAGTGGGGATGGACAATGATCATCTAAGTGAATCCCCCCAACACCTAGGAACAAAGAGACTGTTTTCTGCTACCTTTGTTTCACTGTCTGTGTACCCATGCACACACACGCATTCTACCTGAGTGATTTGCTTTCCCTTTGATGTCCACATTCTAAACAGCTACTCCCGCTTTCTCTCTTTTCCTCTGTTCATCTACCGGTCACTCAGGCAGAGACCCGGAATCATTCATCTCTTGCTCATGTCCCACATCTAAATACCCACTGAGTTCTGTATCTTTTAGCTCCTAATCACATCTCAAACCCACCCCCTCTTTTTTTCCTATTACTACATTCCAGGGTCATATTACTACATTCCAGGGTCATATTCCCAATTTTCCTTATCGAAGGGAAAGGAATCACTTTCTCACTGGGTTGCTGACCTTCAGCATTATCCCCCTCCAACTCTTCCTCCTCTGTACAGATCTGACTCCCTTACCTTGTAGACTAAAACTGCCTAATAGCCACGCTGGCAGCTACAGGACAACACCCAAAGCCTCTGCACACCAGCCATGTGAGTTCTTTGGCCACTACTCACTTCACCTTTCTTGCCCCTGAAGTACCAGACCCCATGTGGTTCCCTGAACAAACCTAAATGTTTCCACCTCTGTACCCTTGCCAATACTGTTCCTGCATCCTGCAAAGACCTTCCCCAGATCTTTACCTGGATAATTCCTCCCCAGCACAAATTTACCTTCTTCAGGAAACACTCTGTCATTGGTTACAGTGTCCTCTTTGGTGCTTTCACAGCAACCATTTACAATCATCAATGCACTAACCAGAGTGGGCCAAAACGATCTACGCACAGGATATAACCACCACTGCTTCCCCAGAGCCTTGCTCAGGCCCTGGGACACAGCAGGGAGAGTTGGTTAAAGGAGGGAAGCAAGACTCAATTCCCTTCCTAGGCTGGCTTCCTCCCATCTTTCCCTGACCCAAAGCCAGAGGTCGGCCTGGCTGCTTCATATTGCCACCTAGGGGAGAAGACAGTAACTGCACCTCTCACCATTCACCATTTACTGGTAATTTGATTCAATATATTGAATGGATAGGGAGGACACAAACTAGGAACAGTTGATTCTGGCAGGCAGTCAGAGGCTTCAAGTGGTGAATGAGCTCTGGTCTGGGCCACACAGCAAGAGGAGAACAGCATTCCAGGCAGTGGGGCAACAGGCAGAGAGAGGGTTGGAGTTTGTGCAGGTGAAATCACAAAGGAAGGGTTAGAATATGCAAGATCTGGAATCCCAAACTTTAGCGTTTAAGCCACCTAAAGAGGTTTAAAAAATTAATTTTTTTTTATCTGCCCAAAGACTTTAAATCAGGAGTGACATCATCAGATCTGTGTTTACGACAACTTTTTTTTTTTAAATCCTCACCCAAGGATATTTTTCCATTGATTTTTAGAGAGAGTGGAAAAGGGAAAGACAGACAGAAATATCAATGTGAGAGAAACACAATGATTGGTTGTCTCCTGCATGAGCCCTGACCAGGGCCTGGGCTGGGGAGGAGCCTGCAACTGAGGTATGTGCCCTTGACCAGAATTGAACCCAAGACTCCACTGAGCCATACCGACTAGGGCTGTTTACGACAACTCTTGCTAGAGTGAGGAAAAAGGATAAAAAATGGGAGGCAGCCCTGGCCGGCATGGCTCAGTGGTTAGAGCATCAATCTGCGTGCCAAAGGGTCTCAGATTTGATTCCCAATCAAGGGCATGTACCTGGGTTGCATCCCTGGCCCCAGTTGGGACAGGTGCTGGAGGCAACTAATCAGTGTGTCTCTTTCACATCGATGTTTCTCTGTTTTTCTCCCTTCTTCCACTCTCTAAAAATCAATGGAAAAAAGATCCTTGGGTGAGGATTAACAAACAAACAAAATGGGAGGCAGGGATTAAGGGAAGCAACAAAGCAAGCATTAGGAAGATGCTATTTTCATAATTCTGCCCCGTCAAAACCAGTGTTTCAACATAAACATTTATGTCCACATTTTGAGATGTTCATATATTTCAGGATCTTGAAGTTGCAGAGTTTTATAATAGATCTCAGCATATGGCTTTGCACACAGAGATGCTCAATGGCAACTGAATGGAATTCCTCAGGGGTCTCCTGGACTTTTGAAATGATAAGAGCAGTAGAACCCTGTGGTTAAGAGCAATAAGGACTCTGAGTAAGAGGGTCTGAGTTCAAATCCTGCTCCAGCCACTTTATGGTGTGATGCTGGTCATATCAAGTGACCCATCGAAGCCTCAGTTTCTTTGTCCTTAAAATTAACATTGTAGCCCTAGCCAGTTTGGCTCGGTGGATAGAACATCGGCCTGCGGATCAAAGGGTCCCAGATTCTATTCCAGTCAAGGGCATGTACCTCGGTTGCATGCTCCTCTCCTGCCTGGGCCCTGGTTGGGGGCACGTTCAGGAGGCAACCAATCAGTGTGTTTCTCTCACATAGACATTTCTCTCTGTCTTTCCCTCTCTCTTCCACTCTCTCTAAAAATAAATGGAAAAATATCCTCGGGTGAGGACTAAAAATAATGAAACAAACAAATAAATAAAATAAAATGAACACTGTAACAGTACCTACCTCAAGGGCTAGAGATAAATGTCTGTTAAGTGTCAAGCATAAAATAAATCCTCAATAAAAACTGTTGACACTTTATAACATCAGTTATTCAGTGCCGGCCATTCACAGGCCATGCACAATGCTAGGGGCTTCCCACACTCTTAAATCTGCACAGCAATATTGCTGTCAATCCTAGTTTACATATAAGAAAATCTAAGGCCCCCCCACAGATGAGTTTGTTGAAGGTCTTTGGGGCCTTAGATCTCAAGGTGTCAGAGATAGGGCTGGAGGAATCTTTAGTGTAAGATTATTTAGTCCAGTGGCGGCTCTCACACGTGAGTGAGTGAATGAGTGAGTGTGAGTGTGTGTGTGTGTGTGTGTGTGTGTGTGTGAGAGAGAGAGAGAGAGAGAGAGAGAGAGAGAGAGAGAGAGACAGAAAGACAGATTTTTAGCAATGTGAGACATTTTTTATATTCACAAGGGGGGGTGTCCTCATCTAGTGGGTAGAGGCCAGGAATGCTATTCAACATTCTACAATGCACAGGACAGCCGAAACCAAGAATGATCAGGCCCAAAATGTTAGCAATGCCAAGGCTGAGAACCCTTCTCCCGTGTAATCATCCTCCCCATCTTCCCACTTCTGGAGCACTGGCCATCTGGATCCCACATGGACACTTTGGGTAAAGGGGTTCTACTCTCGCCCCTGCGGCAGCGCAAGCAGTTCTTCCCCACCTGCTGTGCACAGAGTAGGTTTTAAATGAGCCTCGCAGAAAGGACTCCAAAAAAGAAAGGAAGAGTATCCATCCCCCATTGTTCAACTGCCTGCAGTTTGTCTTTTCAACACACACACACACACACACACACACACACACACACACACACACACACACTTTACAAATCCAAATGTCCCCCGCCCCCTAAAGAGCCTTGTTAGAGATGGCGTTCAAAAAACATATACTTTCTAGGGCTCCCATTTGTACTGAAGGGTTTGCACACTTCTCAAAGGACCTCAGGTTAGCCGCGGTCATCTGACAACGACCACAAAAGAACCTGCGGGATTTCCAGGGACGGAGCCCGTGGGCCGTAACCTCTGGGTGCTGAAGGCGCTGACCCCACTACCTCGCCTCTGGCTTCGATCTCCTGCCCCCGGATCCCTGGCTTCCAAGACTGCCCAGGCCCGAGTCGTGGAGCCCGCCTGGCAGGCGCGTGCCCACGCTGGGTCCCCTTCGCCCGCTCCTCGCGGCGGCCGAGGAATCCGGTCCGGGGCCTGTCGCCCGCGCCCTCACCGGCCAGCACCCGCCCGCCAGCCGCGGACGCGCGCGTCTCCGACCGGCTCTGCGCGGCCTGGGCCTCGGCCGGTGCAGGCCCGCGGACGCCCGCGGCCCGGCGAGGCGAGCTCTGGCCTGCCGCGGCCTACCTAGTCCAGCACCACCGAAGGCCCCAGCCTCACCTGGACACGGGCGGGCGGGCCCAGGGCTGCTCCGAGGTGGGCGAGGGGCGGCGGCGCGGCGCTAACGGCTCCGCTCGGCCTCGCTAGCGGTGGCGGCGGCACCGGCAGCGGCTACGGCGACGGAGGCGGCGGCAGCTCCTCCTCGGCGCGCACGACTCGCTCCGGCCCGCGGCCCGGACACGCCCCCTCGGCGCGCGCACCCATTGGCCGGCGTTCGCCACGGCGCGCTTCTCATTGGCCAGTGTGGCTGTCGCGGCGTCCTGAGGCGCGCGGTGGAGGAGGGATTTCCGTCTGGCGCTGCCTACGAAGGGCTAGATGGCAGGTGAGACCCGGGTGGCCAGCGATGGCTGCGGTATGGTCCAGGTGGTGTCCGGATCACGGAGGCCAACTGAAGGCGGTGGTGGAAGAGCCATGCACCTTGTGGAGCGCATGTTGTGTGCCCGCCCCTGTCTGTCATGTCCCCGGCGTCCACCGCCCTATGAGGTAGGAACGGTCAGCGCGTCTGGGCTATGGGGACAGAACCCGTGTTCGAATCCTGGCCCCGACGTTTCCGCACTACGCGCGGTTGGACAAGGCCTGATGTCATCATCTCGATGGCCCTCAGTTTCCTTATCTGGTGTGGTGTGGAGGCGGGACATGGACGTGTCAGCATTTCAACAGTGTTGACTATTATAGCTCTTGGGTTCCAATTAGCTCAGCCCAACATTCATTCATTAGAATGTTATTGAGCATCTACTATATGCCAGGCACTGAATAGACAAAAATATCTGCCCTTACTGGGCTCACATTTTAGACCAGCGCTTTCCAGTAGAAATAAATGTAAGCAAGTTACAAATGTTGGCCACATGCATAATTTAAATTTTCTAGTAGCCATGTTAAAGGGAAAAAGTAAAATGAAACAAGTGATGTTAATTTTAATAATGTGTTTTATTTAACCCAATTTATGTCCAAAATGTTATTTTAACGTGTAACCGATATAAAAAGTTATGATGCCTGGCCACTGTGGTGCAGTGGTTAGAGCGTCAGCCTGCCCACCAAAGGATCGGGGGTTCGATTCCTGGTCAAGGGCACGTACCTGGGGTTGCAGGTTCATCCCCCGCCTCAGTCCGGGCGCATGCAGGAGGCCACCAATTGATGTGTCTTCTCTCGCATTGATTATTTCTTTCTCTCCCTCTTTCTTTCCTTCCCTTCTCTCTCTAAAAATTAATGGAAAAAATATTCTCAGGTAAGGATTAAAAAAAAGGTTATGAGATCTTTTACTTTTTTTTTCCCTTCACACATTCTTTGAACACTCACAGCCCATTTACAGTTGGATTGGCTACTTTTTAAGGGCTCAACAGCCACATGTTGCCAGTGCTACTGTGTTTGACCTTGCAGTGCTATATAGGGGAGGCAGAAAAGAAATCAAGGGGGTTCCACATCAAGGGGTGAAAAGTGGTAAAGAGAAAAATAAATTGGGGAAGGGCAGGGGAAATGTGGGGGTAGCAATTTGAAAGATAGTGGTCAGGATGGTTGAGAAGATGGCATTTGCACAAGGACTGGAAGGAGTTGAAAAGACTGAACAAAGAACTATGGTATTCATTGTTTAGTGCAGTGTTGGTCCAGTAGAACTTTCTATGCTGATGGGCATGTGTTTTATCAGCACGAATTTAGTAGCTACTAGCTCCATGTGGTTTTTGGGCATTTGACATGTAGCTGGTTACAAATTTTTGCCCTGACTGATTTGGCTCAGTGGACAGAGCATTGGCCTGCAGACTAAAAGGTCCCAGGTTCAATTCCGGTTAAGGGCATGTTAAAAAAAAAAAAGAACTGAATTTTTAATATATTTAATTTTTACTTAATTGAAATTTAAATAATCACAATAGGGCCAATGGCTTCCATAGCAGATGACATAGATTTATGAGAATGGTGGTAAGTGCTCTGAATTGAGAATGTACTGTGTGCTAAATGCTTTTGCAGGTTCTCCCGTATAATTCTTGAAACATCTCTGTGAGAAGGGAGCAATGATCATTGTCACCATGAAGAATGAAGTCCTTCATTTATTCATCTATACTTTATTGTTGGTATTAATAAACTATCTTTTAGAACAGTTTTAGATTTATGGAACTATTACAAAGAAAGTACAGAGCTACCATTTTCCCCACACCCAGTTTCCCCTATTACATCTCTTATTAGTATGATACATTTGTTATAACTAATGAACCAAAATTGATACAGCATTATCAACCAAAGTTCATAGTTAATTTAATTTCCTTTGTTTTTACACAATATTCTTTTTCTCTTCCAGAATCCCATCCAGGATATCATATTACATTTAGTTATTCTCCCCTCCCCCATCTTTCTCTTTTTAAAAAAAATATTTGACATATAACATTATATTAGTTTTAGCTGTGCAACATAATGATTTGATATATCTATATATTGCAAAATAGTCACCACAATGAATTTAACATACTAACATCCATCACCACACTTAGTTATAATTTTTTTGTTCTTGTGATGAGAATTTTTAAAAATTTTATTTGTATTAAAGTATTATAGATGTCCCATTTTTCCCTCATTGACCCTCCCTTCTTCCCCATTCCCATCCCCTCCCCAGGCCTTTACCCTACTATTGTCTGTGTCCATGGGTTATGCATATCTACTAGTACAGTGGTCGGCAAACTAATTAGTCAACAGAGCTAAATATCAACAGTACAACGATTGACATTTCTTTGGAGAGCCAAATTTTTTAAACTTAAACTATATAGGTAGGTACATTGTTATTAACTTAATTAGGGTACTCCTAAGGCTTAGGAAGAGCCACATTCAAGGGGCCAAAGAGCTGCATGTGGCATGCAAGCCACAGTTTGCCGACCACGGTACTAGTCTACACTAATAAAAGAGAAACATGGTAATTAGCGTACGACCGCTACCCTTTTCATTGGCTAATCAGCGAGATATGCAAATTAACTGTCAGCCAAGATAGCGGCCGGCAGCCAGGCAGCTTGAAACTAACATGAGGCTTGCTTGCTTCAGTGACGGAGGACTCCAATGTTCCCCACCTGCCGCTGCAGGCCTCTGAGCCTGCAGTTTAAGAAACTCTGTAACAAACACCACCGGACTTCAGCCAGCAGATTCGCAACATTGTAAGCAAAGGCCAGAAACCTACTTTCAGCCCCGGAGGCCTAAGAGCTGGAGCCAAGCCTCAAAGCTAAAGCTGGCCCAGAATTAAAAAAAAAAAAGAAAAAAAGGAGCGGTTGGGAGCTTCAGTCACCCCCAGCCTGAAAACAGCCCTCAGCCCCTCACTCAGACTGGCCAGACACCCCAGTGGGGACCCCTACCCTGAATGGTGTGTGACCAGCCGCAAACAGCCATCATCCCCTCACCCAGGCTGGCCAGGCACCCCAGTGGGGACCCCCACCCTGATCCAGGACACCCTTCAGGGCAAACCAGCCGGCCCCACCTGTGCACCAGGCCTCTACCCTATATAGTAAAAGGGTAATATGCCTCCCAGCACCGGGATCAGCGGAGCCATGAGGCCTCCCGGCACCGGGATCAGCATGACAGGGGGCAGCGCCCAAACGCCCTGATCGCCCTGTGGCTCTGTGTGTGACAGAGGGCGGGGCCACAACCTCCCTATCCATTCTGCTCTGTTCGTGACAGGGGAAGGTGCCCCAACCCCCTGATCAGCCCTGCTCTGTGCCTGATAGGGGGTAGCTCCCCAACCACCACCCCCCCACGGGCCCTGCTCTGTGTGTGACGGGGTAGAGCCATAACCTCCCCATCGGCCCTGCCCTGAGTGTGAGAGTGGCGGCGCCCCAACCCCCTGATTGCCCCTGCTCTGTGGGTGATAGAGGGCGGCACCCCAACCCCCTGATGGGCCCTGCTCTGTGTGTGACCAGGGCAGTGCCCCAACCCCCTGATGGGCCCTGCTCTGTGTGTGACGGGGGCAGTGCCCCAACCCCCTGATGGGCCCTGCTCTGTGCATGACCGAGGGTGGCGCCGCAACCTCCCCATCGACCCTGCCTTGAGTGTTACAGGGGATGGTGCCCCAACCCCCCAATCGGCCCTACCCTGATCGTGACTGAGGGTGGCATCACAACCTCCCAATCTCCCTGCTCTGTGCATGACAGGGCAGTGCCCCAACTCCCTAATCGGCCCTGCTCTGAGCCCGACCAGGGGCTGCACCTAGGGATTGGGCCTGCCCTCTGCCACCCGGGAGCAGGCCTAAGCCAGCAGGTCATTATCTCCCGAGGGGTCCCAGACTGCGAGAGGGCACAGGCTGGGCTGAGGGACCCCTCCCTCCCCCCCGAGTGCACAAATTTTTGTGCACCGGGCCTCTAGTATATAATAAAAGCCTAAGCAACCATTATGACAGAACGACCAATTGCTGTGATGCACACTGACCACCAGGGGGTAGACACTCAATGCAGGAGCTGCCCCCTGATAGTCAGTGCTCTCCCACAGGGGGAGCGCTGCTCAGCCAGAAGCCGGGCTCACGGCTGGTGAGCACAGCGGTGGTGGCAGGAGCCTCTCCCGCCTCTGCGGCAGTGCTAAGGAGCAGCAAGCAGGCGGGCAATAAGGAGCAAGGGGTACCGGACTGTTAGAGGGCGTAGGCCAGACTGAGGGACCCCCTCCCAGTGCAAGAATTTCATGCACTGGGTCTCTAGTCTATATATATAAAAGCCCAGCGACCATTAAGGTGGAACGACCAGAACAACTGGAACTACTGGTGGCCATGACGTGCATTGCAGCAGCCAACCAGTCTGATCCAGCCCTGATTGGCATCCCCCAACCTCCTGCAGCCCCACCTAACCTCCCTCGGCCCCTCCCGTCTGCTGGCCTCACCCCCGTTCAGGCCCCCCTCCGCCACCTGCTGGTCGTGGGCACAGGGAACACGCGATTGAGCTATTGGCACCCCTTCTGAGGGGAGATGCCCGCCAGGTATACAGAAGGTATACGGAAGGCGCTCAGTGAGGAGTCTGCATGGATTGTGTTCACACCTTCATGCTGTCCCCCCCCCACCACCACAATGCTGAGGTAGCCTGATTCAGGACCCCCGTGCTGACCACCCACACAGAGAAACTGTGTGATAAACATCATGTCCCGCAGATGCCTGAATCTGCCTCAAGAATAAGACACTACAGACCCAGAGCAGGCCGATCGGGACTAAGACAGAAGGTCTGGGAAAAGCAGGGCTGCAGATGGCCATGTTCTGCGTTTGCTGCCCGACTCTGCTCCCCGGCCCTGCTCCCTGGCCCCCTCTGTGTGCAAAGCGCCTGTATCGTTGCCCTTGGATGGAGGCCTGTGAGTGAGTGAAGAACTGTGGCTGTGCCTGTGGCTGCACTCGGCTTCTTGCCCTTATGGATAAGCAGGAAACATTTACGTGCCAGAATCTAAACACCTCTTTATCGGTAATAGCACAAATAATGCAAGACTCACACTTGTTTCTAAACAGGACTCTGTCCGGCTGCGTGTGAACCCAGATCGAAGGTGTGCTCTCTGCCAAGGAGGCTGCAAAGGCTGCTCCTCTCTCGAACGCCCACAGTCTGGAGAGGTTTAAAGGGAAAAGGAGATAAAAAATAAAACAAAATAGCAACAAGCTCTGAAGCCCCTGCCGAAGCTGTCAAATCCTCCACTGGCACCTGCTAGGTCGCCGGGCACCACGCGGCCACTTTCAACCTCTTGCCAGCTCCTGGAGGCGGGTGGGCTTACGGATGGAGGCTTCAGTGTTAAAGTAACCCTGTTAGTGTAGCACAGACACATGTGGGCTTTTTGATGAGAGAGAACCCATGACATCCCCTCCCAAATGTGTTTTTAACTGTTCTGAGATCACGCTCTCAGCTTTGGCGACTCTCAAATAGGCCTCAGCAATTCCACTTGCCCAATGCAAAGACTGACCCGGGTTTCATGGAGACCGAACCCTCGCCCCTAGAGAAGCTGTGTCCTTTCAAAAGGAAGGTCACCCTGGTTGCGGGTCCTTGCTCTTCGGCACTTTGAATATTTCTTGCCACGCCCTTCTCTACCCAGCAAAGCTCATTTAGAATTGAAGGCCACATAAAGAGCTTCACAGACAAGAAAAAGCTAAAGGAGTTCATCACCCCAATTGGGGGCGGGGCTGGCTGGCCAACCTCCTGTGTCCCCTCCCCCTGGCCCACCCTGCCTGATCGGGGCCACGGGCCAGACCCTACCCATGCACGAATTCATGCACTGGGCCTCTAGTATGCATATAAGTTCTTTGGTTGATCTCTTCTCCCTGCCCCCTTCTCTCTCTCTTTTGTATCACCCAAGGATATTTTTCCATTGATTTTTAGGGAGGGTGGGAGAGAGAGAGAGAGAGAGAGAGAGAGAGAGAGAGAAACATTGATGTGAGAGAACCACATTGATTGGTTGCCTCCTGCATGAACCCTGACCAGGGCCTGGGCTGGAGAGGAGCCAGCAACCAAGGTCTGTGCCCTTGACTGGACCGGCTAGGGCTGTCCCGTCTCTTTAGGCTTCTCTTGGTTGTGGCAGATTCTCAGACTTTCCGTGTTTTTGATCACCTTGGCGGTTTTGAGAACTGGTCAGATATTTCGTAGGATGTCCCTCTGTTGGAATTTGTCTGATGTTTTCCTCATGATAAGACTGGGATGATGGGTTTAGGGGAGGAAGACCACAGAGGTAAAGTGGTCATCCCACCACATCCTGTCAAGGGCACATTATCTATGCCTGTTGATGTTGGCCTTGAACACCTGGCTTCATTGCAACCCCCCCCCCCCGCCCCCATACTTTGGAAGGAAGTCACTATGTGCCCACATTTGAAGAGCAGAGAGTTATATTCCTCCTCCTTAAGGATGGAAAACTACTTAAATTATTTAGAATTCTGCATGGGAGGTTTCTCTTTTCTCCCCCATTTATAAGTTTATCTAGTCATTTAATTATATCTCTATGGCCTCCTGCATATTTTATACTCTGGGTTTTAACTTTATTTCTTTATTTCTTTTATTGCTCAAGTTGTTCTGACTTTAGCCATTGGGGTCTCTTCCAGTTGGCTCCTGTGGCCCTTGGACACCCCCCCCCCCCCATCTATGTATTTTGGCTTTTTTCATTTTGTTTTCTTTGGAGCAC